TGCATAGAAGCTCGAGCGTGAAATTCCATAAAACAGTTTGCACTTGGCGTTAAACATTGATGTACGTTGCATTTTGAACTGGTTGCCAAACAGTTTTTTGTGGTCCTGAATTTTCATCATCTGATGATGATTCGGTACTAAATTCATTGTCACTGTTAATAATATTTATGCGACGTCGGGTAAATGTTACTGGATGATCTTCATCGGATTTAGAATCTAATAAAGAATCTTCGGATCTATTACCGCTAATGTGTCTAACTCTAATTCTTCTTCTATTTTTATATGATTTTGTATCCATATTTTGGGTATTTGATATATAAATTTGAAAATAGAAGAAAGCACAACTATTATCCTAAATACACTCGAATCTACCACAATATCCCAATGTAACCTGAAAGTTACAAAACTGTATCATATACAAATAGTAACAAAATGATTATATTAAAATGCAAATAAATAAATTGTTATTGATATACGAACCCAGGGATATTATAGACGCTTTTTTTTATTTAGTAAACACCGACAAAAGCACAAATAATCTCAATTGCACAAAATGGTCCCTTTGGTTTCTGTCTGCAGACAACTTGCAAGGTATTTACTTTGACATTTCAGATTGATGGTGCTACCAACCGTCATCAATATTGTTATTGGTTAATGCAAAGGCATTATATAATTAAGACGTATACATCATCTTGTGAAAAGAACTAAAATTATTTAGTAAAATGTGGATATATCAGCTTGTGACTTGAAAGTTACATGGGCCCATAGAGGCTTAATTTTAGGAATTTGTATTACCGCCATCTTCGACATTTTTGTTTAAATCTAAAATTTCCAAGCTATTATGCCGGCGTCGAACAAAAGAATCGTATCTGAGATCTGCGGACGGCATAGCGTTGATAAAGAAAAAAAAGCTACGGTCAAGAAAAATATACTCGTCAGAAACGGCTATTAAACATGATTAATCGGTAAGTGACGACAAAGTTACGCGAAGCTACAAATAGTTTCCCGGTAGAGGTCGAACTTTGGGTTAACGAAAGGGTTTTATCTCGTGCCGCCGACAGATATTCGATCCTAAGACAGGCCGAGGCATCAGGCTCGAGGATGTCTGATTGTGGCAGTTTCGGCTCCTCCGCCCCGCAGTTAGCGCGAGCACAAGTAACATCGCAGAGTTCCATTCCACACGCCAGCATTTCCACGAAGGCGCAGCTCGATCGATGCGTTGCCATAATACCAAGTAAAGCTCGCATTAAGCGGCATTGAAAGGCGGCGGCGAACTGTGGCACAGCGGTTTGCACCACCTTTCCGCGCAGCTTGCTTCGAACGTCGGAGGCCGCTCATTGTCGGAACGGGGAATGACGCGAGCCGTTCATTTCGTCCCGATTCACTCAGTCGCTCGTAAATTCGTTCTGTGACCTCGACTCGAACGCACGCTCCTCGTGTTCTTGCGCTCTGCGACGTAGCGTCGCGCGCCACCGTCCTGTCGGCCGACTGCGATTCTGTCGAGAATTCAGTACGGGGAATCGCTGTTCCTCAGGAAAATTCCTCGTTGCATCTCCGATCGAAGACGCGTGTTATCCGCACGAAACTGTATTTCGGGACTAACGTTTCCCGACACGCTCGAACAACCCAAGATGTTCAGAATTCATTTATATACACGGTTTCTAGACACTTTGGCGTAACGAAACATATTAAAAATTACACAGAAATACGTATTAATTAAAGAGAGAAGTCCAGACGAGTAATTGGTAGACTGCGGAATTTATGCATTTATTAGAAACACGATTATCTTTAACTGGACATTTAGGTGAGTAAATTAAGGGATCAGGAGATCTTGTCGCGTTAGAAAATGACACATATTTTAAAACGATAGCAGAAGGAAAGCGAACATTTTATTGATCCAAGTTCTCGTGGCTTATTTTACAATGGTACGAGCTATAAGAAAACAGCGCGAATTTTCTTTTAAATCCTATATATTCAGGTAAATAAATATGTGAACAAGATATTCAATATTTTTACATTAAACCGATGATGTACACTTTTTGAATATAGGCGAGAAATATGCGAAACAATCGGATAGAAATATGTGTCCCAGTCTTTTTTACCAAAAATCTTAAAAGACAATGTTAAAAATTGCAGCATAGACTAGAATACGTATCCCCTTAATAATGTCATAATAATCGGCAGTCGCGTTAGTCGGCAGTCCCCTTAGAAAGGGCATCCAAATGCAAAGGGTTGACATCGATGTTGTCACAAATGTTGGTAAACGATAAAACGTCGAAGTACTGCATCGTGTCTGGGTCAGAACGGACCTGGTACCGTATGGTAAGGGTTGATCGAGCAGATCGCTCGATCAAAGCCGGTATCGATCTCCCGCGAATACGAAACGAAAGTTGCGAAACTTCTGCTAGATACGTTCGAAGTAGCAGCGAGAGTGTCTTTGAAAACGAATTCGTTACGAGCATTTCATTCATTTTCAAGCACCGCAGAATGCGCTGAGTAACGCGGTGCGGTTTCGTAGCTTCTCCGATGTAACGGATCATTGAGAACGGGGACCGGGGATTGGCGAGGCGTGTTAATGCGGATCGACGGTTTCCTAAAGTGTTTGACGGGATATAAAAGGGATGCTCTTTGATATCGATTTTCGAGCAGGGGACTTGACTCGAAGAACGGGACTTCTATAGGTCCTTGAATTCGAACCGATAGAGCCATCCTCCGCACTCGATCGTGAATAAATAAACAGTACTGTGTTTCAACCCTTTGCACCGCGGTTTCAATCACAGCTGCGTTAATTAGCGCTTCTGTCTCTTTAATAATTTCCTTAACGGGACAAGACAATTTTTGTTTCTTGCTGCTCGAATCAAATTCAAACGTTGATCGGCAGCAAACTTTCACAAGAGAGCATACAAAGTTGTCCAAGGTTGACGTAACCGTATAAATAAATATCTAGATAAATCCGTGTATTATACGTGTCCGTTATTAATTGGCAAACAAATATTACCTTGCAATCAGAACGTAACGTTAACCTTCGAAAAGCGATTAATCTTAAATAAACGTATCTACTGTTTATTCAAGAAAGCCAATCAGATATAACATCGTCAAGATCTGTATATTGTTTGGAGTACGAGCTTAAAAACGAGCCCAATATTACTTTATTTCCTGACATTATTTTCAACCCAATTTTACAGAAAACAGCCTATCTACTATTTATTTAAGAAACGCGATCAGACATAATTTTATCTATAAATCATTTATAGATAAAAAAATTTAATTCTATTATAAAATTTATAGACTTTATATTTTTACACAATTTCATGCACAATTATTATAAATTAAATAAATTTCATTTTCCCGTAATCATCAAGATCTGTGCATTCTTACTAATATTACTTTATTTCCTTACGCTAACGTTAGTTCATCACCTCGCACAATCTCCAGCCGAATTCAACAGCAAACCGAAGAGAGCACGCGGCGAGCGAACCCGAAAATTCGTCCACGGTGCATCAACGGGCCCGCTCCTGCATAGTCCGCGATTAAACTTTCGACCATCGGTGACGTAATCGCGCGGGCTACCAGCGGTAACGAAGGCGACCGTACAACACAAAGATCCCTTCCACGTAGCGCACCGTTCTTGCCGAGTGGCGCCACGTATCCGCATTTCGGCCCTGGCACGTGTTAGATTAGAAAGTGGCGGGGATGCGCGATACCTTAGAAGCGTTAGAGGGGGTACGAGAGCGTGAAAGAACCGATTGGGCGAGTGGGAGAAGGTAGCGTAAAAGAGAGGGTAGAAAGAGACCGAGCATCCTACAGGCCGAGGGAAATAGAGAGGAAGCGAGTGGGGGCGGGAGGGGGGGGGGGTGAATGACAGAGAGAAGAAGATCCGAGAGCACAACCGTGAAGCGATTGGACGAGGACAGAAATAGCGAGTAGCGGGAAGATCGGAAGGTAGAGGAGAGGGCACGGAGAACCACGCGAACTAAACTTCTAGCCTTAAGCAATCCCTGCCCCACCCTCGCCCGAAAAATGTCGAATCTTATTTCCCTCCTCCTCGCGGTCCCTCCTCCACGAATCGTCTCCCACCTACACGATCCTCTTCCCTCTTTCTCCAACCCGCGGTACTAGCCGACCCGGCCGCTGCCTCTCCCCACCCACCAGGTTCCTCACCCGAAACCACCGAACTCACACTATTTCGTTCTAACCGCATTTGCATCGGCACCGATGACCCATATTCACATTTCGGTTCCTCCGCGACACGGCCACGCCGACGTCTTCGAGTCTTCCTTCTCTCTCTCCAGCCAGGCCGGTTCCCTCGCGATCGTACGCACGGTCCTCCCGCGCGTGTATATCTGTTTCTCGGTGGCCGGCGCGCGCGTGCACGACAGAGACCGACGTCGAGGTCCGTTCCGTGACCAACGAGACAGAGGGAGAGAGAGCGAGAGCCAGAGAAAGAGGGAGAGAGAGAGAGAGAAAGAGAGGGACCAACGACGACGGACAGTTACGCGTGATTCGTTCCTCGCCGCGGCGATGCGCGATGCAAGTCGGTGACTCGAATTCGGTCGGGTGAAACGAACACTCGAGCCACCAGTGTGCACGCGGCCAGTGTCCCGAAACACCAGGAAGGAATCACGGGAAACTGTCTTGCCTGTCGTTCGGTTCGGTGTCCCGTGATCGGTCTGTCGCATCGGGGAACAGTGCTGGGATCGGTCCCGTAGGATCATGTGCCGCGTGGACGTGTGTACGGGAGACCGGTGCAGACAGCACGTCGTCTATCAGTGAGTTGCGTCCCGGAGAGATCGAAGATCGCGGGTCGAGTGGGTTCCTGGTCGAATCCCGGGAGGTCAGTCGCGATCGTTGGCGCGGGTCTTGTTGTTCGCGGACCATTCGCGGGGCTCTTATGAATGAAACGTGCTGGCCGGCGCGTCGGTGCTGCTGTTGCCTCTCTTCTTGAGTCTCGATCGGACGGACGGTAATACGGGCCTGGGCCTCGGTAGGTGTTTCCTCGGCGGTTTTATCGCGAACCGCGCGGACATCCGGTAGTACGCTCGGAAAGAGGTTTCCACGTTGCCAGCGGGCCGACACCACGGTTAGGCGACTCTGATCGCCGATCTTCGAATAACCGCGGCCCGATAACGGCCGCCCGATGTTTTCTCCGCTTATCTGTCGCGGTTTTCGAGAACACGGGCCCGTTATCGATGGCCTAGTCGCGAACCCGGTGCCGGCCCGCTACGAAACGAACGAACGCTGGTCGAACGAACGGCGATCGACGATCGAAGGTGGTGGCTGCCGGCGAGACTGAATTACATGTTTTCTGTACAGCTGGACGAACTGTTGGGCACGAGCGCGATCAGGAAGAAAAACACCTACACGAAGGTGGCAGAGACAGGGGTGGCGAGGGTCACGGGGTTGGGCCTAGGGGTGGCATCATGGACTCTCATCAGCATCAGTTCTGTCTCAAATGGAATAGTTTCGGCAGCAACTTAGCAACGGCGTTCTCAAATTTGTTCAAAAGCGAGAGTCTGACGGATGTCACCCTGTTCTGCGAGGGTAAGTCTCTTCATCAGTTTTCGTTCTTTCTTTCTTCGTTTAGCTTATTTAACCTGTGCGCGCGATGGCTCGTTGCCGCGATACGCACGCGATACACGTTCCCGAGAGACATTTCGATTCAGTTCGCGAGCCGATAAGCGGCACACGCGCGCGATATCGAGTCGATTATACCACTGACAACCAGGGAGTTTCTTTTCAGTCTCTCTCGGAATTGTATCGAACGAATGCTGCGTTTGCGAGTTACGCGGACGACTGGCCGTGGATGTTTATGCAAGGACGACGTAGAGTTTGATAACGTGTTAAGGATAGCTTTGTTTGTAAACGGTTTTAAACCTGCGATAGCACGCTAGCCTACCGGCTAACTTTATTGGAATACCGTAGTCTTAAATTATGCGGTTGTCTATATTTCGAATCTGCCAGTTAAAAGAATATTTTATTTTAGCAAAATCAAGCTAAACACTGGAGAGAACACGAAAGAATAAGGATTTTTGCACAGATCCTATAATATAATATTTGTCAGTTCGAAAAACAGTGTGTTATAGCAGAATTATCGCGGGAGTAACAATAAAAATTGTCTTCGTTAAAATTTCAAGACGCAGAAACTACATAGACACTTATTTCAATTCTTGATGAATATAACGAGTTGACAATAATAAAATAATATTATCAAATTGTTAAAATGTTTTTGCTATTTTGCATTTGATTTAACCATTTTGTACGCATAAAATCCGCAGTCTAGTTATCAACTTTTCGAAGAGACATGAAAATTGTACGAAATTCCACCTCAATGTCTAGCGGATGATATTTTTAGCTATACCGAGATTATCCCGAAACTACGCCGCGTCTCGTAACTGTAAAACCACCCAAAAACGTTCAGCTTTTATACATAGAAGCTGATATAACGATAAATGAACTGTGCCATGTTCGAAATCGTATTGAGAAACAATGTATTCTTTTAGGACAGATTATGTTTCCTCCGAAATAAAAAGCAGCAAAACATTGATTCGTCGGTGTTTCATAACGGTCGTTTATCGTGGATAGAAAAATAATTTTAACGCTATTAAATTTGTCTATATTTGAAAAGAAACTGAATATTTTTGAGTTGTTTTATAGTTTGCCCGCGACTTCGGCAATCGAATCCTAAAAGAGTAGAAATCATTTAATCGTTTGCATCGAAATGGTTTCCAATAAGTGCGCAAGCATTCGAATAACGAAGAACATAATGAACACCGTGCGATTAGCCGATGAGACGTTCGAAGAGACACGCGCGACGGGGTGAAATCCCGTTCCGAAAGCATCGAAGTCACTGGTAGCCGCGTTCTCCATGTCTGACCAAAGCAGCGCCATCACTCCTTGCGCCTGAATTGCTCACCTGGGGGGTGTCGGCGGGTGCAGTCGCAGCGCGGTGCACGTGTCCGAGTTGCAGGCGAGCTGCAGGCGTCGGTGGATCGGCCCGCCCCTACCCCCGTTTCGTCCAATCGCGCGACTCGCGAGACCCGGCTCGCGCAGAGTCAGTCGGCGTGCATGCGAATCTCGGGTTTGCACATCGGGACCCGTTCGTGTGTAAGTGCGGAGACGCTTGTGCACGGTGCACGGACGAGCGAATACACGAGCGAACACGAGGCCGGCGCGCGCGATTTCCCCCGACTTGTTGCGAGTGCAACAATCTCGCGGATCCGCCGCGAGAAACCGCAGTCCGTGGCGAGCCGCGGTGCAACGCGTTCGGTGCAACGTGTCCGGTGCATCCGCGTCGCGTGTCGTTCGCGTCGCGATCGATCTCTTCGCTGTAAGAATCCGTGTAGTATTCGCGAGGTTCGAACGCCTCCGATGGCTCGATTTATTGCAAACGAAAACGACGACGCTTGTTTACGGTGAGAAGATAAACGCGATAGGTATAATCGCGATCGATGTCGCGTTTATCGCGAGTCGTCCGCGCGCCGCGTAACCGTGCCACTTCCGGTTTAAAAATATCACGTGGATGTGCATCTTCATTCATAATGCATCGACCGTGCCCGGTGCAACGAGCCCAGCATGCGCCCGTCACGCCGTATATTTCTCCATCGGGACCCCGTTTCGGTCTGGATCGGTTTGGCCGCCGATGCCGTTCCTCGGACGGTTGATTACCTGCATCGATAATGCATCGGGACGCGCAAGCATCTGGTGACCGGGTTTCTCCATTCTTGTTAAGCAATGCGGAGAGTTCGTGACATTGAACCGTGAATTCGAAGCAGCTTAATTAAGTGGGACCGGCGACTCTGCCGCGCACGAAACTGTTGATTATGTTTTCGTGCTTCGTTGTCTGCCTCGATTCTGGTGTCTCCTGAAACTGCGACGACGCGCCATTCGAGTGTCTTATAAGTACTACAAGCGAATATTGGAAGAAGTTAGTATACTGGTACTGTGATCGTTGGACTGCGGATTTTATGTAATTACAACGAGAATGAACAGGTCGAATACAAAGCTGTAAAAATATTAAGACAATTTAAGAACACTGTTATATCGTTAAAGTGACAATGTTTAGTTTGCATAAAAGTCCACGATCTAGTGATTATTAATCGAGACAGAACAAATTACAGAAAGGTTTCTAATATTCCATTTTAGAAGTATATTTTTGTCAAACGCTGTGTGGACGGTTTGCCGATCGGCTCATTTTTGTAGAAAATAATAAATACAACGCTTTGCATAAATATTTACAACCTAAAAATAGTCTTCGAGAGTTTCATTATCACATTGGTTTGATTAAATAAGTGCTCGAATATCTGCTTATTTCATTAAGTAATTCAAATTCAACACTGGTACATCTTAATCATTGTTTCGAGTGTTCAAACGATTGCCATCGTGTACGTAATACAGTTACTCCGATTTTGAATATCGTTTCTTCGATCGTTAACACGGTAAATCGCACGAATTTACAATATAAAGATTGGTTGTAACTAGGAACAGTAAAATACCGTCGCAGTTGCGAGAGTCTTTATTATTTGGAATTCGAAATCATTTTCAATCGCCAATCTATAGTTACAGAAAAGGAAGTTTTTAATGATCTATTGACACGACGATACTAGAAACAGGACGAATCGCGAATTTGAGGTGTTTTCTCAAATTGTGCAACGCATCGATGACAACGTTTCTTTACGTTTCCTTGAAAATGATTTCTTAGCTTCACGCGTTAGCCATCTCAACGGATATTGGTTCACAAATTGGTATCACTTTTTAGCTTTTTATGGTCCTAAATGACAATTATCATGCAAACCAAAAAACGATGTCTCCTTCGCCAAGTAGTTGAATCCTTGAAGAAACATCTTAAAATTGATAACGTCAATAAATAGAGTAGTATGCATAATTATAAACTTAAAATAACTTATACATTGTTACCGATGTCGGAACGAAAACTTAATAAATTATCATGTGTGTGTTTTCGTATATCTATTTTCTATTATCTTTAATAAAGAAATAGGTATATAAATATGATATAATATTTTGTTGAGTTTTTCTTAAACGTATAGATGTCTCAGCTAAAGGTGGCCACCTACAGTGCTGCGAATAATTTTAATCCCAATATTATTTCTAATATAGAAATATTCAAATACGATATTTTGTTAAACTTTTGTTCAGATATCACGAAAAATGTAAGAGTTACTTTTGAGTCTATAATCGTTCACACCACTGTATCTAAAAAAATTATTCTAGACAACATCGAACAACAACGAGTCGCCTACTTTTCCGATTCTAATCGCCCCCATTTGGTCCACGAGAATCGATGGCACTATGGTTTTCCAAAATCGAACGCATTCTCGATGTTGATCGTGGCAAAGTTTGCAATACTACGGACGGCCGAGCGACGTTACCGAGAATTCGCGATTACAGCGTCAATAAAATTTCGGTAGGATTTATCAGCGACGCTGATAACGGCAACTATACACCAACACGTGGTGCCAGATATTTGTTCCTTTATCGGACGTGCTGAATAAATAAGAATGTGCAACTCCCGAGAGACTCCGTTTTTAGACTTTCTGTTTTTCGAGTGTTTGTCGAGGCGAGGAACTCGCAATCAACAAGATGAGAAGGAACTGGCAGTCGAGGCAAAGCAGCGTAATCGCTCGAAAATTTTGACCCACTGACATCGTACGCTGCATCGACGCAGCGGTTACCGAGTTCTTATTATCGAATGTATGAATGCTATCGTAGATATATTCTCGTCGGCATGATTTTGGGTCATTCAAACGTTCAGCTTTATGGACTCGGCGAGAGCGAAACCATGATCGAAGCTGCGACCAAGTCAATAAATTATATCGTCGATTTGGAACTCAATAAATTCCAAGCAACGAAATAATGCGACTTTTATGTATACAATTTTTGATTGCTTACAAGAACCTACAGAGAAACGTGTGGATAAATAATTATTACGCTACGTTTTGCTCAGAAATTTGTGAAATTTATTATTGATATATGTCGTAATTGAAAGAACAAATTATAAAAATTGTATCGATCGAATTACAAAATGAAGATAAGAAATTAGTTAGCATAAAACCATTTTTCTGTTGAAAAAGGTGCAAAAGAATCCTTGGACTTTTATAGACTCACCGATCACGCATAACTGTACAATAACGAATAAACTAAAAATCGCAGAGTAGTATGGAGTGCCTAAACTACGATTATTCTAAGTAGTTAAATACTTTCGAAAGTAAATGTCCCAATTTTCTCATTTCACTGCGACGCTTAATGAGTGAATCGATCATTCTGCTAAGACATTCGATAACTTTTTTGACTCTTCCGACTGCAGAGGAGTTTTCTCGGTATTCTTATAGTTAGCAGAAACCATACCGAGCCAATGAACGAGACTATTCCAGGAGATATCCGTGTCAGTTCGATTCGGAGAACGGTGTTAGCGTTCCGTTAACTGCAGCGGAGAAAGTTGTTAACGATTGAATCGATCGACTATCACTATCGCTGCCATTCTGCGCAACCGATTCATCAGCGAGCTAGCTCATCTCGACATATCA